GACCTAAGACTAAAGTTATTGAAAGTTGATTATCATAATATGAAATAAAACTTTAAATATTTCTATACGCTCTGAATGTACAGTTTAGTTTACTGTTAGGTTTGTATGTACACAAACCTCACCTCACTAGCCGCCGCTAGTTCAGTTTTCAAACTGTGAATATTGTATTTGGACTCTTGAAATATTCAACAACAGCTTGATGACACTATATATTCAATATTGAACACTCATACATACATATATACACACACACACACACACACGTACATCTATATATCAGTGTAGGTTATCAGGTAATCTCCCGTCATTATATCACATCAAAGGCCTGAACGTTCCTCGTTCCTGAACTAATAAATGAAGAATTTAATTGAACCGAGTGACGTTATATTGGAGAATGTTACCTACTTGTAACAACACAATATTACACGAAAGAATCCACATATTGGATTCTGGAGATAACTTGTAACTAACATATATACGAGATATAAAAGGTGACCGAAGAAACAGTATTGTGTCTCAAATAAATATAATGTCTACATAAATTTTCTATATAATATGGTTGTTTAATATAATTAAATCTTTCGTTTGAACTGATTGGGAAGCTTCGCATTTTATCTGGGGTTATTTTTTTGTTGAAGTTTAGTTTTGTGCACATTCTAAGTTTGTATCGTCACACTAAATAGGATTTGTTTTTAGTTCTTTAATATATCTTTGCACATTTTAAGTATCCACGTAGTTGACTGAAAGAGATACGGGAAACGCTTACTATGTAGTTTAAGATGCAAACTTGTGTTAAGCAAACAGTCTTCATCTTATATTGTTTAGTAGCCCATACTTACTTATATAAATTATTCTATCATACTTTAAGTCTCACTCCGCGAAACTAATTCTTGAGAAAGTTAATTTATTGAATAGATATTTTTATATCCTATCAATCGTCACATCTCTACTCTTCTTGTTCTTTCTCGTGGTCAATAATAATTGTAGGTTAGTCAGTTATAAATTGTACAGTAAGGAGTTTCATATAGATGTGTGTTACATCAAAGCTTCGTCATGTTTATAATAATACATTGGTTTTCAATATTTTTTACACACTTTTATTGAAAACTTAGCGAAAAATTTCTATCGGGGGTAAATAAAACGTATTATATAACGCAATACTATACCTTTATATACTCATACATTTGTATAAAAAAGGTTTCATCCATATATTATATATATCGGATTTATTACACATTCGTTGTTTTTAAAGAGAGAGACGCCAGCCTCGCTGACGTTACAAATGTCACTTCTTCTAGTATGGTTCATGATATTTTAAAATGAAGCTTCAATTGTTCTTAATGTTCCTGTATATATCGAAGGTTCTTCATAATCACATACTTCAATGATACGCACTCAGTGAACTCTGAATTCTGCCGTCGTGCGTCCAGACGTCATATTTATACCAAGATTTAAACAAAGTTCTATTCTCCTTTTAAGCAACCTTTGATTTCGTTTTACTTTTAACAATAATCATAAATACTAATGAGGTTTAATAAGTATTGATGACAGCCTCAAATTATTTTCAAGTCGCATCCGTTATTAAAGCTGGTAGCGCCGATATATATTAATATAATATTTCATGATGTAAATAACTGTAACTAGTTGTGACGCTAACTGAGCCTTTCCCCTAAATTAAGTCGGGTTGTATTATGTAAGTTTCCATAAATCACAACTACCCACTACCCACTACCCGCTACCCTCTACCCTCTACCCGCTACCCTCTACCCTGTACCTCCGAGCCGGGGATAAAGTGCTTCATTCGGAACACGTTCATAAATCTAGACTTACACGCGTCCACGTTTTAGGTTCGGCCCAATTCCTACATTGTTAGCTCTGAACAATGTTACAACAGAATTGTGTTACCTTATACATACTTATAATCGGTTCAAATCATACATAATGAACTTACTTTAGATGAATGTTACAACGAGTTCATGTGGAAATACCTAATAAATGAAGGAAGAAAAATAATAAAGATCTTTATATATGTACTTTGAAGTATATAAGTATTTATATGTATTAGAAATGAAATTATTTATAAATATTGTGTCATCAGTAGTCAGTGGAACAGATTTTGTATGATTTAATATTAACAAGGAAAAACATTGATGAGATCTAAGACTATAGCGAGTTTTATTCATTTAAATGGAACTAATATTTTTGGATATACTGAGCGGTAATAAACATAAACATTGAACAATAATTTCCTATAAGTCACGTGGTATATACATATGTTAAAGGATCATTATTTACGTTCAGCGGAAAGCACAAACAAAATATAATAAGTGAGCCACACACCGACTACAAGGAAATCATTTAGTTTATTTTCCTCACTGGATTTGTTCTCGCCACTGAATCAGGCAAAAACTAACAATGAATACAAAAAAATATAAATCGGATATGAACGGTGCGTGAGAAGAATTATAAATAATAGAAGAATCGAGTTTACGTGGAGGAACTGTGACGATATGTACTACTTGTATATACTGTATTATGTATATATAATGGCAATCATATAAGTTCTTGAGTTTCGTAACAAAATTTCTTTAAATATTGTTCAATATTATCATTGCGGTAATTTCATCTCGCTAGAATAACTCTTTAGTTTCAAATCATATGTTCCATCATCTTTATGACATGCTGTTTTAAAATCCAATGACTTAGGAGCGACAAATCGGTGAAAACTTATGGAGATGATATTGTAAGGACGGGAAACTGATCTATAAATGAATTGTATAACATCTACAGTGTATGTCCAAAGTCTAAATGAATCTATTTTAATCTATGTATAGACAATAAATATGTACATTCACATCTAGTCTGTCCTTATCACGGTTGCTGAAAAGTAACTGAAACATCGGGAGTATGTAGTTTTTTAATATAACGAAGTAATCCGAAAATATTTTCATTTAAATACATATGTCTCTTACTTTATGTGTCGTCGAAGGCTTAGCGTCAAAATGATTTATCAAACTCGTGTTATTTCCATAAACTATTATTATCGTCGTATATTTTTTATGTTTCAATATATAATTTTTATTTTATAATACGTTATGTATATTTTCATTGAGTGTGAGTGGATGCACATTACGCCAGATCAAAGTATTAAGGTCAGAGAAAGCTTCTGCCACACCGAGCACAAACATACATCGCTACAAGAACTATTTTAGACACAAATACATATATATAAACTAAATATAAATATAATATGTTATATAAAATATAATATTAGGACCATGAACGGTGTCATTGGAAGTATATATTCTTGTTATTTGACTAATATGAGATATATACCGAGACTTATATTATTAAATTATTAAGGAACGTAAGAAATCTCTAGTTCCTAAAAATGTATTCATAGATTATTCATAAATAATTGTATTATAATAAATTTCCCAGACACGGGTTACAACACTTCTCAACGACAATACCACTTACGAGAACTTATCTTTATATTAGTATTTATTTTTGTACGTAAACAATTAGCACAAAACTTAAATAATAATTCCTAAAATATTAACAAGCTTTTACCCTTATACAACAATAATTCTGGTAATAACGAGAGCGTTCCGTTTTAGTTTCAACCGAGCTCCAGACTACATTCATAGTTACTTTATATAATTAAATTGAATCTCTCAAAAGACTTATTTCTGTATAAAGAGTAATGGTACAATATTCTCTGGGTCAGGGATCAAGGAGACGTTCACTTTAATATTCTAGATTTAGAAATTCATCCACAAAGACACGCTCGAGCTGTTTGGAAAACAGATTACTGTAAAACGATTACAAATATGACTTCCATTACTGTTATTGAACAATCTTCTCTCCGTTATTATAAAAAACTTTCTTACAATATATTTTCTTTACATATTTGTGTTCTTTATGTAATTTTCTTTTTTCTTGTGTCTTAAATATCTGTCATCTATCAGTCACGTAAGAACTCTAGTATATGTCGATGTGTTTTTAATACTTTTTTTCTTCACTTGTTTTGTAATTCTTTTAAATTTCTCTTTATTTTTATTATTCTCATTATTCCCCCTCCCTCTTCTTCTTTCGTAACAAACCAACTAAGCCTCATTGTAGTTTAAGTATGGACACAACTTCAATAAAACTCGAAAGTCTGTACACAGACATAATAAACTATAACTTTTATTAAATCGCAGTTAAAATATAAGTTAGTTATAAAACGACGTCAAGAACAACTTTAATATGGAAAGTTCAGAATACTTTGTGTACATACTGTGTATATAAAGTGTAATTTAATAATAATGTTATAATTAAATGAAAATCTTTTATTAATAAGGTTTAAGTTAGATCAGTTATGTACTGCAGATATTTACTAATATTAAGGTCTTAGAATTATTGTGAAATACATAAAGATCACCAACTTCTTTTATTTAACAAAATTGGTTGAATATTTTCAACATTTATATACTGAAAGATTTTCTTGGTGAAGTACAATTGGCTCAAAGCTAGTGTAATGTACTAATGTGATAACTTTTTTATTAATAATAATGCATACATTCATATTAATAATATGAATGTATGCATATTATTAATATGAAATTCATATCATCCTACTAATAATAAATGTAAATAAAAACTGCCTCGTTACTGCAGCGCATCAGACGCTAAAGTCAATTGTTTCTTTTCGACTATGTGAAAGAGATGCGCGTCTTTGGTGTGCAGGTGCGGAGTAGCCCCAATAGTATTTTAAGAATAATTGTTGATCGGTTGGACTGTATATACGTGAATCGCTGCGGGGCCATATCTCACGGAATGGTACATCAGTGAGTCGCGTATGTGCGGTTCAGTCGATTAGCTAATTAACAAATTAATTAATTAATTATATTATTGTCAGAAAAATTATTTACAATTTATGTATTATTTTTAACTGAGTCATTGTTACTTGATTAAATGATATAAATAATAATATAAAAATAACATCAAACTGTAAGCTTCACGTCGCTGGCTGTAGGTCAGGGTCTAAACGCTCTTGACATGGATCGACGGAGCAGTCAGCCCCTGTGGCTGCTACCCCATGGAAAACATTTATATACAAGTGGTGGAAACTTGAGGTTAATGTAGATTAGGTTTAATAAGGCGAATGTTAAAGAAATGCGCATTAAACATTTAGCGACACTTCAAAAGACCAATCCGAGGTGATTTTATAACATACACTCTTTAATATTATTTATTTTATGTTCAAAATAAAATTAGATATTTGTCGAACAAAATATATAATATTGTTGGGAGAGAAAATGAATGCACGTAGTAACGGTTACGTCTCACATGAAGAAGCTGTAACGTGTACTTCTATGATATTGTATTACTGTAGTTATCTCATGATACTTATGTTACAGAAATTATGTAATGATAAGTTACTTACGAGAACAATGTGTATATATATACATATGTATATGTATATATAGACTCGTGTATAACCAATCATTTATTTTAAATGAAACTAATATTTTTCGAATTATACTACGCCGTGATTACGATTGCTGGAAAGTAACCAAAACGTCGGGAGTATGTAGTTTAAATCATCCGAATAATATAAGTATCAAAGCCTTAGATCACATTATTTGTTTTATATCTGAAACGTCTTTCGTTTCGTGTTCCTACTATAAGTAAGCATTTCCGAACAAAAGAATAAATAATAATGGTAAGTACATAAGATGAGAGTGATCTGTCCGAAGTGATAATCTTTCATCGAGAGAAAACAACTTCTATTTATCTCTGTCAAAGATTTTGATTCAAACGAATATAACAATATAACAGAAGCAATTTGTATCTTATAGCACCCTACATATAGTATATATTTGAATAATAAAATGTAATAGCAATTGTTTCCGAAGTCGTATATTCAGCTAGGTATTACTTTTATTGCTTATCTTGTTACTTCACTCGTTTTACTAAAACTAAAAACTTGTATCGAAAAGATTTCGGGACTTAGAGAAATGGAATGAAGGTTGCCGAGTCTCTCGCTTCCAAACTCTTATAATATATATACCTACCTACTATTGTTACATAAACTCCAAATACGTTTTAGTAACTAAATGTAAAATAAGAGAACAACGTTCTGAAAATTTGTAATAAATACAATATCGTAAAATCTTATTTATGCCTTACAAATATTACGTATTATATTGAAGTCAGTGGTGGCCTAGTGGTAAAAGGGCCCGCCTCTCATGCACGAGGGCACGGGAACGATCCTGGAAAGTACCAATGTGATTTTTCCGAGTCATATGTACTTTATAAGAGTATTTAGACACTACTGATTAATGCATTCCTAAAGAGGGTTGATGTCAGGCAGGCGGCCAGTCGTAAAAACAATTAGTAAAAACTATTCACAACATATAAGGCAGACCCTGGCTAAACCTGGAAAATTGCCAGGTAGAGAAAACTATATAATATGTATTATACATACAGTCTTACAATTAGAGGTGAAGTCGTAGTAGTAACTATGGTTATTGGGATCAATGAGAGAATAGGACACATCAATTCCATGGTTTTGAATCCTATAACCTTTTGCTTTAAGATTAAAAAGAAGCAGCAGCGCTACTTCTGTGGCCCTACGAACATGTTTGTATGACATCATATACATATAACAGAGCTCACTCCTCTCTAAACAAATAACTGACACACTAACAACATATTTTTCTTCGCTTATTACTTTTTTTATTAAATTAATTACGGAGAACATCGCCTGATGAGTCTTCATCCTTTCTATGATTATTTATTAAGCTGACCATCATTCATATAAAACATTAAATTCAATACATTACATCATTAGATACATACTTCTAAGGTAATATTTACTTATGTATTACATTTTGTCGCATAGTTCTTCAAGAGGTTTATATTCCTGTTATACCTTCAGTATTGTATAGTTGCATATTGTTCCAGTGTCCTCCCTCCCGAGTCCAACGACCGAGGAGGATGAAGACGAGGATGAAACTACTCCGAGTCGAGCTGATGCTGATGATGGGCGGGTGTACAAGAACCCTCGGAACTCACCCTCAGCTCAGTGTCCACGAGACGAGGAACAGGCTACCTTACTAGTGAGTTACCATTACATCTCATTATCACTGTCTTAAGTACGAGCATTTTAAATGGAACTAATATTTTCGGACTTACTACGCGTTTTTTTTAGTTTTTGACTATAAACTACATACTCCCGACGTTTCGGTTACTTTACAGCAACCATGATCACGGGCAGACGAGATGACATTTTGTTTTCATTATATTAGAGACGTTTTTGTTTATTAAAAAATAAAGGAAAGGTTTTTAATTTAAAATTCGATATAATTGCTGAACACCATTAATCTTATTTATCTAATATATCAAAGTTTGTACTCATTAAACTTGTAATGTATGTAATGATAACTATGATTAAAGGTTCCTCATAAAAAAATCAGATGTAAATATTTTAGTTCTAACTTGTGTTTATATGATAAGTTCACACTATTGTTATGTTCAGGGTCAGAAATGTCTCCGCAAGTGTTCATCGGACGAGGACTGCAAGAGTAAAAAGAAGAAGTGTCTCTGTGATGGCGCGTGCGGCATGTCCTGTATAAAGCCAGGTGAGTGACACATGTATAGTATAATATGTATGGAACCCGCTCCTCCTGTCTCTGATCTGTAACCGGAGCTCCCCGATGAGTTATTTAACGTAACGTAATACATTACGTATCAATGGAAACGTATTCTCTTCCGTGTAAACATAAAAACTGTCATTGAGGTTACAGAAGAGAATTGAATATTATGTTATAGTTATGTGAGGTGACACGTTCAGTTGAAACAAATGTATTCAATGCAATTATTTTTTTATACAATGTATATTGTATATAATTAACATTGATTTATAAATAATATACATATGTAGGTTAATGTATGCTAACATTTTCACGAATGAATTACGTTCACTAAAATTTTTCTTCTTTAATGGATTATAAATAAAATAACTTTTGTAAATATACATCAAATACAATAAATATGAATAACAAAATATGTATATCTTTTGAACTTATGCACTCGAGATGTTTGAAATAAAACGACTGATAATATTCTGAACAACACCAATATAATTCTTACTGTCTTAACAATAACACAATGATTTTGGTAAATTTAAAACTAAGGATATTTTTAATTTTTTGAGTAGTTTTTAATAGAAAAACATTTTTATTATATTGACGTAATAAAGCTGACTACACGGTTCGTATAGCTTCACATTTTCTTTACCATTTACTATAATTATTTCACATATATTTATATGTAGTTATAATAACTTCGGTAATCATTATACTTAAAGGAATACAAATAGAGACACAATCATATCTTTAACAGTGATAGATGGCTTGCATCACGAACATCTGTATCAAGTTAATAAATATTCATTGATTTTGGGGAACACGAGCTGTTTCAAATTGTGACTATACATCAGGTCGAAATGATTCCACTTCAGATCGTTCACGATGAATAACTCCTTCAAGTTGGGCAGTTTCTTTGAGAAAGTCTCCAACTCTGTAATGTTGACGAGCCAGTCCCGTCTACCCTGGACCAGTAACACGGGGACTTTAACGTTTTGTAGATTATATGTAGGAGGTTCGTGTGTTCCGTATCTTTCCATGTTTCCTGTTTTCCCAAAGTCGTATTTCTGGAACCTATCTGAGAAGCCCGCTTGTCCGTACCTCGCTAGGTTTCGTATGGACGTACCGTCCGGGAAGTGTTTGATGGTGTTAAAAAGTGTGTGCTCGTTATGTGACGCCGGGTTATATTCATCAAAAGACGATATTATAGTATGACAAACTGTCTTACTGAGGACACATATTAAATTGATCAGTTTATGAGCCATCATGTTCCTCGAAAACACCTCGTTGATGCCCAGCTTATAGAAGAGGTTCTCTAATTTCATGACCGTACTAAACATAGTCTGTAGCGGTCCGTTGGACAGCTGTAAGGTGGTCGGTGTTCCCATACCGACCATCGCGTTCACTTTACCATTATATTCAGGTCTCTCTGAACACAACATGTAGAAGGATCCTCCGCCTTGTGAAAATCCGATGTAATTTAACTTAGCCGCTTTCGTTATGTTCAAAACTGAGTCGATCATGGCTGGTATGTCGTAGTAACCGATTTCATCAGCGGAGAACTGCCAGAACTTATCATCATTGTCAGGGTCGAGGCTGGTGTGACGTCTGCCGTAGTAGTTCCCTCTCGTGTTCCCGACCCACACATCGTGACACTTATCAGACAACAAGTAAGGCAGGCTGTAGTTAGCGCCGGGGTCCAGCCACGAATCTGAACTTTGAAAGAGTCCGTGTAAGATGAGGACTGGTCTCCGTAGCTGGTCGCACTTGTTCCCTCTTATTCTGAATAAGTTAATAATATAACCATCTTCAGTGACCACATCATATTCCTCGCTGGTGTATCCATTCTGTTTTACTATTTCCGGGAATCTTATAATTTTATTCGATGGCAAAACTACATTATAGAAATAGTTGGTTGCCAAAATAACTGATAGTACAACAAGTAGCACCTTCCTGATGGACATGTTCACAACAACTGACATTCAAGAATATTAAAGTAGCTTAAGGTAATTTTTTTTGCGAGTTGAAAAATAAAATCGCTACGAGGATTCCGTACGAATATTGATTAATAATAAAGTCCGTCAATATAAATCATTGTAATGTTGTATACGGAAATTAAATTTAACATTTGTCTTTTTTTATGGAATTGAAAGAATTATTAAGGCTGTATTGAGTAAACGTGGAAATAAAAACGTTTTTTTATATAAAAAAAATCATTCGTGATTACGCTCATGTAATATTCATAAGGATTATTGGCAATTTTATAAGATTACTCGTCTATTATAAAATATATATAGTATTGACACCAGGCGTTGGACACTTTGATCTATTGAGCTGTGAGGGTTGAAAATGTGAAAGATAGACAAGCAGCATGCTTGGTCCAATTTTTCATCGCCACAGTACGATACTCAGTCCGTTCCTCATTAAGTAACATAAGTTAATACTATTATGTGACGAGATTTAATAATGAATAACTATGAATGGAATTAAACAAAATAATTTACATAATATTTACAACATTGTATGTTGTTATCATGCGGAACGGTTTTGGACTTTTAATGTTGCCATAAACCACGGCAAGCAGTACCGCAGTTGTCATTGTAGAATTGTAATGAGCCTTAATTAGTTTTTCTTGAAAATATAATAGTTATAACATACAACACATCTTACGAGATCTCTTGGTATACCTTTTGTATAATTTTGTTTAATGTCGTAATACTTACAGAGTCTACTGTGAGATAGGAGCCTATTAGCTTGAATGATAAACAAAAATGTAAATAAAAGATTACATACTCGGATGTATTTTTAGATCCTGTTGTTAATTTTGAAGCGACTGTTCATGCTAAAAATATAAATTGGTCATAAACCCTAAGTGATTTTTTATTACTTATTTTGTTAATTTTTTACACGTTTGATTTAATGATATTTTTGTCCAAAAATAACTTTAAAAGAGGTTAATAAATTATAATTAAACTTGATAGAGGTTATTGAAGTTAAAAAATAAAGAATTTTAGGAACACAAAGATAGATATATTACGAGTATAAGTGTGTAGAAGTTCACCGTGGTCATTTCCAATTTACTTATTTTAATTTCAATTCCACAGTTGTTATGTATCTAGTGTGCTCATAGTTGTATTGAAAGAATAACTTTAAACCTATAGTTATCTATAGTACATATAGTTAACAAATTACCAAAAAAACAAACAATATAACATCATTTTAGACAAGTAATTAAATAATTTTCGAAAAAAATCTATAATTATTGTTATTAAAAAATATATGACAAATAGATAATATTTTGTATAAATTAACAATAAAAATAAAGATTTTGTCTGAATGTTTTTATACGGATGCGGAAAATACTATGTTATATTTCACAGAGATATGTTCCTCTACTTATACTCTTAGGACTGTCAGTTACAACATCCGTAACCTTATAATAATAAAAGTCGTTTAATGTAACAGTTGTCAAAATAATAAACATGCGTCACTAGTGTTTCATTATCAATTTATTTTATTAAAAATTGTTAATAACTACAATATTTATATCATAAAACAGAATATACTGTAGACCGTCATTAGACGTACCTTGTAGAAAACTGGTTGTAACTTTACACGTAGTCTCTGTTCGTCGAGAAAGGCGACAAACGAGCAGACGATCCACATGGTGGAAGGTAGTTACTGTCGTCCTTGGACATCTGCAACCTTAGGGATTGTTGAGGAAGAGGGTTGTCGAAATAAGGAGATGGTAGGAAAGGGCAACCGACTCTCTCACTCATAGGATGAAACGCAGCCATTAAAGACTACTTCACACCGATCTTCTGTGAGAGGGTGCTACTTCCCAGGTTGAGCCAGCCCATGTTTGAGCTGTAGTAACTTGACCACAGCCAAGCTCTACCACCAAATATCTCTATCTATCTTATGAGATGTGTGAAAAGCAAGCGAAGTGTTTTTCATTACAATGTGATTTAATAATTATCATGTTTTGGTCTACGGTAAAAAAACGTAATATTTGACGCTGGTACTAGACATTTCTCGATAGTACAAGATACAAGATGCATTATGTTTTTCTTGTATGCATTATGTTTATGTTAAGTACTTTATGAGGAAAAAACTGATTTAATATATTTTATTAAGTTTATTATAAACTTTACAAAAAATCTTAATAATTGATGCTTTTAAAATCTAGGTACACACAAATTATAAAGGATTTTCTGTTATCTCAAAACTTCTTTAAACCAAACTATTTCATTATATATTATATATATTGTATGCCCGAGCGTTATACAATGACTCTCACTTTAGTTACTGCGCACTTCTTACTGTACAGTACACAGTTTGTAACTCTTACTGTCCTGTTTATACCCTTATGACCCGTGGTAAGGTGTAACAGATAACTCTATCGTTAGGGTCATTATTTAATTGTTGAATTATATATAATGACTTGTTAAATCATCATGTATTTAAGTATTATATTTATCAGAGACCCTGAACTTTGCGTTTTATTATATAATATTTTTGCAAATCATTATTTTGTCTCATATATAAATGTATTTTTATTATTTATGACCGTGTCGTCCAAAATAAACGACCTTCACCAATTGAGTCGTATCAAATCATCTATTTTGGGAGTCCTCACACTCACATGTAGGTATTTATTATTTTTCACCTCTGACTTCGACAAATAATCATTGAGAAACGATTGTAAGATTAACTATTTATACCTTTATGAATATGCTATATTTAAGAGTATGGTGTGAGTTGTTACATTGAATATTAAAAGAGAATGTGACCAGGTATCATGAGTGAGAAGGAAACAGAATCTTACTTAAATAAATAGAGTTAACGAGGACTATGATCAGGATTTAAAACGAATGAAGCTTACTTCAGATAAACAACGAGAAATATACTTTGTAAGAAGAGGAGATTACTTTTATTATACTGTTAGTATTTCATTTAACCGCAGTAACTTTAACTCGACCGTGATATATTTAATAGTTAAGAAAATATAAACTGTAAAATGTTTTATAGTGACTAATAACCAGATAACTATAAAATAACTATCTATTATAGACCTAAGGTAAGAAATTAAAGATATTAATTTATTTATATTTATATAAAAGTACCAAACTGACATATTTATCATATTTAACATTCTTCTAGTTTTATTTTGTTTGTTCAATAATGATTATTTATTTTTTATTTAATAAGAGGACAAAGACTAAAAATTACTTTACAGATGTAACAGCCACACTAAACCACATTAGATTGAAATAATGTTATTAGAGACATGTGTATTTTGTATTAAAACAATCACATTGATATTATAAAAGTTTTATACATGTTAGTGTTCTGTAGAATATGGAAACTTATTCTACTTAAATTTCTTGAACGGCCTCTCTTAACTTTCAATAAGAAGTTAAACTGTTCAAAGTATATTTAATTGGCAATTTCAGAATATACCTACCTTTAATATAACTATTAGGTATTGCGATTTTTTGTAAACAGTATAATTTGTAATAGATTTCGGAGATAATTTATTAATAAATATTGAAAAAAAAATCTTGAATTATTATTATTCATTTATTTACAACGTGAAAGTCATTATAAATACTTTAAAATTATAATGACAATGAGCATTAGATGTACATTGAACAATACAACTGATTGAATAATTGATTGTATCAATTAAAATATTATTAACTTATTATAAAAACATTTTATATATAATAATTATTATATTTTAAGGACGGACAGACGGACGTCGCATTTTATATTATTATATATTGATATTTTAAATGTTAAGAATTATTTATAAAATTAATTATCGTCAGATCAAAGTGTGTAATAATTAAAAAATATTTTTATTTCTGTTGTATTTAACATTCACATGTCCTTATATAAATATTTCAATTATTATATATTATATTATAGTAAATGTTATTTCAAGTCACCAGTGATCCTTGAACACATTATATATATTTCCACTCACAGCTTACAATCATCATAAACAAGTCCAACGCCACATTTATATTTTACATATGAACCACTCAGAAACTATTTGTTTGTATTCTTCTCTCCATTCTTCTTCTCTTGCTTCTTCTATCATGTTATTATTTGATTCTTCTATTGTTTTTATCTCTCAGTCGTCATTCACCATTTATTGTTTCCTTTGATGTTCTTTTCACAAAGTATTCTGCAATTTCCGATCGTAATCCACTGATAGTTCTGTTAGATGTTACCACCGACTAATTTGAACTTCAATTGGAGATTCAAGTTGATGGATCTGTAGAGAAAGCTGCAGAATTAAGATAATGCTTCAAACACTCAACTCCTCATGTCTTGGACTTATTTTCCTATTTTTTTGTTTATTGCATATTGTTCGTATTGTGTACAGTTCTTCCTTATTATTATACGCCACTCTTTTTAAATTGTGAATAATCATTTTAATAAATTTGATTGGACACTCACTAAGCATAAAGCATACAATAGTTGTACATCTGTATAAGCTAAAAGCTATAGCTAATATTTCATGAAGCACAACAATATAATATTTCTATCTTTTATGTATATTCGTATGTTAGTCAAGCATAGTTTTGTTAGAACATTTTTCACAAACTTTTCCAACAATGGACACACAACAACCCAGATTAGTTCTATCTGTATCATGGCCAACTACGAGTTATATCTAAACCCGAAAACTACTAACTCACACGTACCTTCAGCACACACTCGACCTTATTTCATTCAGAAGGTAATTTACTTCTCGTCTGAAAACATTGCCTCACTCGCCTCAAGTTGAATTTACTCAAGTATTGTAACGTAGTCTTTGCTATTATTTATCAACAATATTTATTGTCGTTATTAGTAAAATTTTCTGCAAGCTAACAATGATTTGAAAGATTTCAATTGTTATAAATTACATAAAATAATTATAAACTTGTAGTAAATCCAATAAATATCA